TCATATAAGCTCAGCGAAAGTTTAATTGCTGTTGCTTGGGGATTCCCCCTAAGGGCACAACTCTTGCCCATATCCCGCAGGCCCTTGTAACTTGGGGGATTTTTATGTCTCTGGGTTCGTTGTCTTGGCCCCAAAAAATGTACTGAAATCACAATTTCTAGTCAATTGAACCTGCGGTTGAGCTTGGCCCCTAGGGGGTGCCACATGGCTCTGGCTCTGGCTCCCCGCTTCTCCTTCATCTAGGAAAGTACCCACTCCCCCTGTCACTCAGTATCGCAGACAGTTTAGTGACCCCAAAAGGTTCACAGATCCCTGTGTGTGTGTATCCGTGACCGCATTTTTAGGCTCGCTCGATTTCCAAATTGGTAAGCATATTAAATATTTAAGCATCAAGCCATAAAAATGCCAATTTTACAAATATACATATACATTTATGTAGAGGTATATGTAATATGTATGTGGGATAAATGAACTTGGCGCCATCGCTGGCATCTGGCATATGGACGACAAGTGGAGGATGCCAATGCCTCGCCTTGGTTTTGTAGCATTTTTCAACTGCCAGCGAGCTTTGCAATTCAAATTAAGCTAAAGCTTCTGTTGTAGATTCTGGCAGCTACTGTGGCAGCTCCTGCTTCTGTTCCTGCTCCTGCTTCTGCTCCTGCTTCTGCTCCTGCTCCTGCTCCTGCTCCTGCTCCTGCTCCTGCTCCTTTAGCTCCTTCTCCAACTTCACAGCTCCTGCTAGCTCCTTGCCCTGCTCTTGCTCCATCTTCTGCTTCATCGCCAGCTCCTCTTTGCTGCTCTTTTTTGCTGCCAGCTAGCAGACAACTGTCTGGCCCTGGACATCCTGGGTTGGCAGACCAAGGCTGCAACCCCTCCATCCTAGTGAATTCCCTTTATTTTTTTGCCACATTGACCAAAATCATATCCATTTTACTTTTTTAACTATATATTTTAGAAAGAAAAAGGCAAGTTCTAAACTAAACAAAGCTCACAGTATTCAAAGTAAATAATATTTCAATACAAAAAAATTACGCATACGCCAGGTTGGTTTAATTTTTATTTTTAATTTATATTTGTAGGCATCTTTTTTAACTGAAATGAGCTTCAAAAAATATATACAAGCCTGTCCAATAATAAATTAAAATGGCATGCCTCAATAGGCATTTAAAAATATATAAACAAAAATATTACGCATACGCCATGTTAACCGGGTAAAAGTAAATAAATAAGTAAATAAATAACCAAAAAGCAAAACTTGCTGATATATTAAATGCTTGTGTTTTTCAGGGGAAAATAATATATAAATTATATATACATATCTATATAAAATGTGTCTCTAGGAATTACTAAGGAAATAATCAGGGCTGAGCAGAGAAGATTTCCAAGAAGGATTCTTTGACCACAGAATACATATATATTTAAAATTATATATAAATATTAAAAAATATATATTCACTATATTTTCACACAATGTGCCCCCTCAAGTATCCATATTCGAACGGAAACAATTCGTATCTCCTGTCAAGCCACTTTGCATACACTTAGCATATTCGCCTCTTCGATGGCCAGAACCCAGAGTCAGAGGTCCATGGCCAATATAATTGTAATTGAGCGGCGATCTGAATCTAACCGACAGCGACCTTCAGCCCTTAAAATGTTAAGGACTTTAAGGAATTTCCTTAAAGCTAAAAAGAAAAACTTGTACCTTTTGTTTACCAAAAATGCATACAAAGAGAGAGACAGGCTCGCTGGGTTTGTTTGCTGACTGAAATTAGAAAACTCGCGCAGGTGACCTGCAAAATTTGCAGATTTTAGGCACGAACTAGAGCTCCATGAACACCATGTGCTGCTCCGAGGGGGGGGAAGCTAACATTGATGACTGAAATAGCCTTGCAAGTTTTGCCACCAACAATGACTTGGGCGAAACAAAGTTTTTTTTTTGTTGCTTAACGAATTCAATTTCATTAGCACAACAAGCATAATTAAATACGACACGAGGAGGGTGGTGGGGTGGCTGAGCATTCAGGAATCAGAAATCAGGATTTTGGAAATCGGGGTTAGCAAAAATCATCCAGAATGGCGCGACATCTGTCCCAGCTAAGCCGCTTAGATGGCAAAGATGTAGGGATAAAGCTCAATGGAAAACCCACTGCCAGGTTCCCGAGGCAAATTGAAAATGAAAACGGGGGGAAAACGGAAAAGTTTTGGCCATTGACAAACGCATTAAGACTTAAATCGCCGTCGTTTTTGGCTAAGGAGAAACTCTCCCCCTCCCCCTTACCAATGGCTAATTACTTGCCAAACAAGATGTCGCCTGGCAAAGCTTTTAACAGCCAGACAAGTCCAGGACCAGAACCAGAATATTCTTTAATATAAGCCAAGAAGTAGGATTATACCTATTTGGATACAGTACCCAGATCTTAAGCCGTTAAGTAACCCCGCCTGACTGCACTTTCCCCAGTATAAAAGGTGACTCTAACTCTTCAGGCAGGACTTTTGCCTTGATTCCCATTGATTAGGACATGGGTTTGGCTCCAGTTTAGCCTTGTGAAAACCTGACACGCCTCGCTGGTGCTCACGCAAAAGGGCAGAACCATCTGCATGCATGTACGTGTTCCCCGGCAAAAAGCTTCATTTCCGTCCAGGTCAAAAGGTAAACTCATTTCCGGTGCGTGCAGCGTGGCTTCCCATGCGAATTCGCCTGCAACGACCAACCCAAAAAATCAGATAGCCAGCTAAAAGGACTGAACACTTGTTCCGCGATTAACCATTTTTCGAGACGCCCTTTGCCTTGTCACTCCTTTTCCTACTCTCTGTCACTGGTACACACCACGAAATGAATGTATGGCGTCTTACATATCTATATAACAAAAAGAAAGAAAGAAATTTGTAGACAAAAGGAAAGGCAAGCAATTTGGAAAATGACATCACAAGTTTTCTTATTCTTTTGCAAAGTTTATTACTCAAAGTTGTAAAGTTGATGTAAAGTTTTCTCACAGAGTTCATTGAGCACACTACAAAGTATTATCGATGGGGGTTATCGATGTCCTTTTTTTAGGTGGAGATGGTCACACTCTATTTATCACATTTATAGTGTGATACAATTATAAATAATTATACAATTGTATTGTATGCTATAAATAGAGGTATACAATTCTATAAAATATGTATATAAATTATAGAATATATAATTTATAATTTAATCAGGATTTAAAGAGGCTCTGATATCATGGTAGACTGATTTTGTAATTTACAAAGAAAAGCAATTAATAAAATAAAATAAAATAATTAAAAAATGTAATTACAAAAAAATACAATTAAGAAATTGCAATATTATAAGCACATACATATGTGAAAATATGTTAAAGAAGAAATTTAATAATTACAAATTAATGGTCACACTGGAAATCTAAACAGTGCACAGTGGTCGGGCCAATAGGACAAAAATAAAAAAAATGATTTTGAGCTATGCGAGCGAAACCTGGTTTTTCTATCAGCTAATTGTCCAAATTTTCCCATGCAATAAGGTCTGCTTGGAATTTCAACGGGACTTTCTGAAAATAGATTGACAAAAGCGTACTTATATTCATGGACTTTTAATTTGTCAGCAGTGGAGTGCACAGACCAAATTTAAAAACTTAAAATATAATATAAAACGCTGTTAAACCAAAATCAATTGGACTGAATATAGTAGATAAAGGTATATACTTTATTTTTACAGAAAAATATATATATAATTTGTGTTGTGTTTCGTGTAAATCTTTGTTAAAAAAGTGCGTCTTTTTAGTTGGTATATGTTGTGTTTACTTAAAGTTTTAACTATTTTCCCCCCGTTGCCCCCAAATGAAATTTATGTGTCGTTATTAACTGATATTTACAGATTATAAAAATGTTTACTTCAGCTGCGGCTACCTGCGGCTGCACATTTGCCATTACAAAACAAATTACCCTAATTTTTTAGCCAAAAATCCGGGTTGTGATAAAAAATCGGAAAAAAATGTTAAAAATAAAAACGTCACCTGAGTACCTCGGGGCACTTATACTTTAGTGAATGCAATACATTTTTTGGATATCGGATGATTTTGTGGACAGTTAGAATAGGATATACACCGAGAACAACCTTTTTTGTGGGGACTTAGGAGATTCGCAGTTACTCGTAAGCATGTAAATATTTTTTAATACAAAAATTAACAAAAAATTATTGAAATGTTGTGTTATTATATGGTATTTAATTCAATACGCTAATTTTAGCCGTTTCGTCACAACATTTTTTTGAAAAGTAGGCAGTTTTGCACCGAATTAACCTTACCCCCCATTAAGCTGTGTACGTTTGTTGCTGGACAAATTAAATACACAATATATAAGTTAATAATTTTTTTTTTACTTTTGGGCACTTATATTTCACCAACGTTCTCATTAAGTGATCAAAAATTAAAAATTTAAAGTTAGGTCTTGGAAAAAAATAATTTTATAAAAATGTTGTATGGGAGCTATAAGATATAGTGATCCGATTTTAACCAAATTTGGTAAAAATGCATAAACCTGTACCAAACATATAATCTGTAAAATTGGTTAAGATATTTTGAAAAACAAAAAAGTTTTTCATACTAAATTTTGATTTTTAACAGATTGTTCCTATGGCAGCTATATGATATAGACGAGCAATATGGCCAATTTTTTGTGGATATACTTAAAACATTTTCCTAGATTTTTGGTGAAAATTTCATAGCGATAGCACATCTAGAAGTATTTATGGCCGCTGTTCCATACAAGCTCGACCACTGTGCAGTGTCATAAAAGTTATTTAAATAAATTATTAAATTCACAGTAAAAATATAGTAAAATTATAGTAAAAGTAATTTAATTAGGTTAATAAATTAATATGAATAAAAATAAATTAAATTAAAATATAAAAAATGTATATATATATTAAAATAAATTAACAAAGAATTAAAAAAATATTTAACAAAATATAGTAAAAATATATTAAAAGTAATTGATTTAATTAATTAATTAATTTTCTTTTTATTTATATATTTTCAAATTCTTTCAATTTATTTTCAGTGTAACAACCCCCTTCCCTGTGGCACGCATAAATTGGCAAAATTTTAATTTTCCACTAGATTTGCGTGGATTTCGGGTTTCGCTTTTCTTTTTCTTTTTTGCCTTTGCTTTGATATTTACACTCGCCCCGACTGACTGTGTGTGTGTGCCACATCCATCCGCATTTGTTGCGAAAAAAAAAAGGACGAAGGAGCTTGCCAGAATTTATGACTGCATCTCTTTGAGGTTTTCTTCTTTTTTTCTTTATCTTTTTGTTTGCGTTTCCCTCGCTTCATTTGAAAGCATGGCTTTCTTTGTCCAACTTCCTGGCTGTTAACCGTTTTCCTTGAATTCCGAGTTGTCCTTGTGATTGTCCTTGTTGATATTCCCCACAGCTGAGAAGATAAAATTACACCATGTCCATCCTGCAGCAGTTGCACATCATCATCATCATCGCAAGACATCAGCAAGGGTTCACATATTCAGTAACATTTTCATTCACATTTTCATTTTCAGTTTTCATGTCGGTTTCATTTCCATTCGCATTAACTTTTCCAATTGGTTGCCGGGAATCGATGCGATGCACAGCACATTAAATGCGAAAAATCCTGTTTGAAGTGTAGCAATTGAGCCTGGTGACGTGCTCCTCGTCAATTTGATTAATTTCCGACTGCTGCCAAATGATATGGAAAGCCGCGCCGGCGGCGGCGGCGTCGCCCCAGGACGAGGATCCTTGGCTCTCTCAACTTGCCTCTGATTTATGGATGAGATAAAAAAGTCGGAATTCCAAAACTTTGCCCTCGCAAAAGTATTTTTAGTCTCGCAGATAATGAGAAAAGGAAGCTGGGGCGACGAGAGAAAGAAAAAAATACAAATTACAGGCCGATACTTAAGGAGCTGCCAGGCAGGAGGAGCTGGGAGCTGGGAGCCGGGAGCTGGAAGCTGAAGTCATCCATATGCCAAATGGCCTCATTAGATGCCGTGGCAAAAATACAACAAAAATCAAATTAAATTGCCGGACAACGTGACAACGGAAAGCGACACTCACCGTCCATAGAATCCTCCCTCCTCCTCCTAATCCTCCCTGTCCCAGCACAGCTCATTCTCCACCCTGTCCCGATGAATGTCATCCAACTCGGTGGCCTGTATGCACTTTCCCACGCCCACAAACTCCTGCTTGAGCACCGCAAATGTGCTGGAGTACAGCATCTTGTCCTTGATCTGAGCCTGCGATGGACACCACAGCATAAGGAATAGCTTCTCCCGCAGTCGGGTGCCCGTAGTGCCCTGATACTGCTGCCTATAGGCATAATCGTACACAGCATAGCGGCATTGATCCGGACCAGCGCGGCACAAATCTGCCAGAAACTCCTCGTAGCCGGCTTCCCGTACCCCCAGCCATTCCACCCGGATCCGGCGTTCGTTCTCGATCCTAAAGATGGCATAGCGGTGCTGCTTCAGTCGCCAGATCTGGTCAAAGACATGCTTGCACTCGCTGCTCAAGGGAATGCCAGTGGCCATGACTCTGGGTTAATTTACACATGAAACTTTTGAATTTAGATCTGGGATTATCAATGGGAATGCCAAAGGGCAGGGCACAGGGCAGGGCCCACTGGGAGCTGCTCTCCCTTCTCCACATTTCCGATCGAGTGGAGTGGAGGCAATGAATATTTATGGCCAGAAATTGCTGGCTCTTTGCTACCTAATCAAATAGAGATAAATTTTTGGGGAAATGTTTGTAAGCACTTTTGGCCATATGCAGCCGGGAAAGCTGCACTTTAGAGGCACTGCAAGAAATTACTAGGGTAAAATATCTTAAAAAAGGTTTTATAAAATGTTTACATGGTAGAAAATAAAAATTTACTCGGAATTTTGATAACTAAAAAAATATTTTAATATTTTTAATCACCTTTTTTCAGTTTTAAAAATTAATTTAATATTAAAGCCCTAATAAAATACCTCTTAAAGGGTGTTCCAAAATTGTATACAACATTTTACATGCTTAAAAAAAAACAAATAAATTTCTTAACATAAAAAAAAATTATTTTTATTTTTTATTTTATTTAATATAAAAATCTTAATTGATTTAAGTGATTTTTATCATGAATAAACTTAAATAAAAATAGTTAAAAATAATATAAATAATATACTTGTTTTTCTGATACATTTTTCATTGAAACTAAGGCTAATAACCTTATAATTCCCAACTGGATCTTACATCCCAGGGATAAAAAGACGCTTGTTGTAAATAGTAACAAAATTGTTCTTAAAATAAGAAGAAATTACCCTTAAGTTTATAATATATGAAATTTATTAATATTTTTATTATTTTTTTTATTAATATTTATTATTATTATTGTTTCCAAATATTTATTTCTTTAATTTTTCTTTTTTACAATATTTTTGCCAACTTAAATTTAAATATTTATTAAATTTATAAATATTTATAATTACATTTGCAATTTCTTGCAGTGTATGCTCCCACGCCAAACGCGTGTTTGTGCATGCAAATCTGCTAAATGCCTTTTGTGTGGGCCTATAAGCCGCCCGGGCCTCTCTTTTGGGTTATAATTTAATGCAACTGCTGACGCCAGAATGCCGGTGCAAGACAATTGTTTTTCCATCATCCCAGGGGGCATGTGTGCGTGTGTGTGTGTGTGTGTGTGTGAGAGATGTTACGACATGTTGACTGACAGGCAGAAGGATGGTGCTGCATTACCCATTCTTCATCCTGGCAACTTCTCGTCTGGCTGTGGGCTATAATTGTTTAATGGGCTTCACCTCCCCCCAACGAGCCCCACCCCCAACAATGAATGGCGGCATAAATGTTGATTGGGGTAGAAGGTGGGGGAAATCAGATATATATATACTTAAAAAAAACTTTATACCTAAGGAACATCCTCTATATTTTTCTGTTTTTTTTTCAGGTTTTTTTTCTGTTTTTTTTAATGTTTTCAGTTGACATTTTTTGTTGCCTGCATATTCCCTTTGAGGCATTACGCGTCCTCCTTTTATTGAGTGGCTCTCGATGGGCTTGTCATAGGACCTGGCTTCCTGCTCCTGCTCCTGCTCCTCCTGGTCCTCCGCCCCCTCTCGAGTGCTGCGTTTGCCTTGCACTTCATTTCCCAATTAATCTGCGGAAGAGCCGCACAAATAAACATTGAGGGCTTTGGAGTGGCCCATCCCATCATGTATATCCATCTCAAGGGAAAGAGGCTGGCGGAGTATTTAAGTTATCTACTTGGCGTACAATGTCGTAAATTTCATTTCCAGGCTTTCTGAGAGTTCTCCGAACATAAGGGAGGTGCTCCTTGGGCTCCTCCTGCTACTCATGCTCTTCTTGCGTCTCCTGCTCCTCCTGCTCCTCTTGCTCCTCCTGCTTCTCCTGCTTCTCCTGCTTCTCCCTGCTCCTCTTGCTCCTCCTGCTTCTCCTGCTCTCCCTGCTCCTCTTGTTCTCCTCCTTGCTCCCACATAGAGGCAAAACCACATAAGAAGCTTCACCTAAAATATAGTCTTTCTTTTAATTAAATTTCACTTTCAAATTAAATATGAAATGTAAATAAAAACTAAAGTTTTAAAATTAATTTAAACATCCTCAGAAAATCGAAATCATTTTCCAGCTTTTCCTCCTTCTTTCTTTCAATAAAATTTCCCTGCAAATGTAAATAAAAGCAATAGTTTTAAAATGAATTTCAACGCGTTCAAAAAATCCAAAACAAATATATTTAATTTTCCAGCTTTTCTTTCTTGAATTTTAAATTAATATGTTAAAAAGATATGTACATGTTTGTCTCCCTCTTAGGTTACTCTATGCGCTTTTCCTTGCCCAGAAAACTCATGCATATTTAAGCGCTTTTCCCATGTTATCAGCATGTACATATGTATGTGTATGTGTTTGCCCCTGGACCAGGGATGGGCACGTGAGGCGCGAAAATAGCTTGGAGCCCGGCGGCATAATTACGGGCACGCGTCCAAAAAAAATACGGACACGAAACCCTCACTGGCTGAAGAAAAATCTCGCGTCCCCGGGGAGGCTTTTCCTTGCAAATTAAATACAAAATAACGTAAAATACACTTGAGGCAGCCGCAAAGTATATGTATATATAATATATATATAATATATATATGGCACTGCCGCCGGATCCGGAACAACAAGTTACGGGCTGCTCACCCTGTGCGTTGCTGGAGCTGCAAAAGCCGCCCGGCGGCCATTGTTCAGCGGAGATTTCGTTTTTATTACGCGTAAATGAAAGACATTTGTCGTTGAATGTCGCTGGCATAGGGGGAGGGTCTCCCCCCCCTCTTACACTTGACAACAAAAAAAATAAAGAAGATTTTCCTAAAAAAAAAAAATTAAGAACATTGACTAATATAGCGTTAATTCGCGTTAAAAAAAAGGAATGTTTATATCTTAAAAATAATTAATAATAAAACAAACGTAAGAAACTATCGATAAATATTATATTTAGCATGATATCGATTTTTATCGTCGATATGAAATTTTTTTAATATTTAAAAGTGTGGTTTAACAAAGTCTTAATAATTAATATTAATTTCTTTATAAATTTCTTAATGTCTAAAGTTTTGATGTGAAAGTGTACAAGTTTTTTGAGAACTACTCTTTTCGATATTTCTCCAGATTATCGATTAAAAAATGTTTGTTTTCAGAATGATTTTGATATTTTCTGAATAAGATTTATTTATGTTTTTCAAGAATATAAATTTTTAATAATTTTAATAATTTTTATATTCTTTTATATTTAAAATTTCGATATATCAAAGCTTACGATTTTTTCGTATTGATAATTATCGATAATTCTTCAGATTATCGATTTTAATCGTTGAATCCGAAATGTTTGTATATATAAAATTTAAATATATTAAGCCTCACAATATTTTCGATATAATTCTGAGCGATATTATTATTATTAATTAATTATATTGAGTGAGATATTTAAATCTTTTTTTAACGAATAAATCATATTTTATAATTCACAAAATTATATTAATAAATTCCCAAAAATTGTATTTTATTGTACTTTATTTTCATTGAATTATTTTACTTTTTTAAGGCCCCTCTATTTATTTCAGTGTATTTTGCGCACTTTGCATAGGCGCTTTGTGCTAAGCTCTGCGATAAAAATCTCTTTACGGCTGCCAGGCGTCGGTCGCCGCCACCACCAGGACATTGTTGACCAACACGCGAATGATTAACAAGCCATCGAAGCAATCACGGTCGTAGCCCGTTGAAAGGACACCACCCGATGTCCCAATGGATCTAATTTTGATTCCGATTCCGATTTCAGGCAGAGAACACGGCGAAACTATTTTAATGGAAAGAGCGTGTCCTTGCTAAAGGAAATGAAAAGCACATTTTTTTGATTTAATTATTTGTATTTTTTTCACCCTGATGCCAGCTCATCCTGCTCATCCAAGCCATGCCAGCTGTCACGCTAGCTTCAAAGGAAGAAAAGAAACATGGCAGCTAGTCCTGGCGCATCCTAACAATTTTTGAAAAAACAAAGCAGGTGCTCCTTGAAAACAAATTCAGTTAATGCAGGAAAATTCTGCCATTAAGGCCTTATCCCTTTGCTATTTCCAAAGAACATATATAAATTTCATAGAGAATCGAATCGAATCCAGCATGAATTTTGGGGCTCTACTCTACTATGCCAAGAGGAAGTCGGACGAGGCCAAGGAACAGGTGAGTAGCAGCTGAGGAAAACTGCTGATTCCAACTTCACCCACTGCCCTGACCATGTGACCCTCTGTCTTACCAGCAGCAGCAGGATGGCAAGTTCTATAGCACAAAATTCTCGCCGCCCAAGAAGGTGAAGAAGGAGAACAAGCCGCTGTCGAATAATATACAGAAATTTCTAAATAAAAAGGAGGCCGAGGAGGCGAAAAAGCCACACAAGAAGAACCCAAAAATGACCGAGAGCCAGGACAAACAGAAGACCATAAATTCCAGGGGCATCATCACCACTACCACCACCACCACCGGTCCGGGGCACAACCCTGGCGAGGGTCAGGGCGATGACTATGGCTTCACATCCACCGAGGCGAATGTCCTGTACGAGAAGTACCTGGAGAAGGTGGAACATGTACAGGAAAACAAGGATTTTGCGCCCAGCAGACCGCAGCCATTGGTCGACATTTCTGGAACCATAAACCGCGTCAAGGCGGCCATCGATCGTGATCTTCAGGAGGCTGAAATCCAGAAACGTCCCAAGGGCCGTCCAGGCACAACCAAGGCAGCGACCATCAGGATTGATGCGAAGATCCAGCATAATTCCGAGACTGAAAAAGGGGAAAAGGAAAAAGAAAAGAGGCTAAGCCGAGATAAGCGGAAGCGAGGCGAGAAGGAGAAGGATCCAGGAAGACTGATCTCGAAGGAGCTGTGGCGTCACCAGGAGAAGCATTTAAAGAGGGACAAGAAGCACGAGCCGAAACTAAGTCAAGGAACTGATACCGTCAAGCGGCCTACCTTCATCTCAAAATCAAGCTCTTCTCACAGTTCCGATTCTTTCTCTTCCAACAATCAAGATCCAAAGCTCTCCATCAGTAGCAATGATATCAAAGCAGTCGATTCCATGGGATCCCCGAATGGAGAGGAGAAACAGAAGGAGAAGCCCAACTTCAGTGGCAGTAGCTCCAATGAATCAATGGAAATATAAATATAAAACTATGGACTTTAATGTAAAACAACAAAAAAAAATATTAGAAAGCAAATCATTTCATTCATTTATCGATTTTATCGATTAATATCCAGAAATTTTCATTTATTATACACGATCCCAGAATGGAGAGGAGAAACAGAAGGAGAAGCCCAACTTCAGTGGCAATAGCTCCAATGAATCAATGGAAATATAAATATAAAACTATGGACTTTAATGTAAAACAACAAAAAAAAATATTAGAAAGCAAATCATTTCATTCATTTATCGATTTTATCGATTAAAATTCAGAAATTTTTATTTATACACGATTACAACAAATTTCGATTTATAAAGAATCAGTATCAATATTCATATTATTTTTTGGATTTTGTTAAACAACCAAAAAGTATTCGAATTTTATTTATCCATCAAATTTAGTCCATAATTTCGATTTATTATACACGATTACATACAAATTTCGATTTTTACAGATACAGCATCAATATTTATATAAATCTAATACTTTTCTCTTCCCAAGAACTTCTTTGTTAGCAATCGAATCCTCTCCAGAAATTGGTTGCTCTTGGCAAAGAGCAAAGTTTACAACGATAGTTGAGTACTTTGCCACCTGACTTCAGGGGTGGAGAAAAGAGGCAATGCTAGGTGAGGACAGGATGCACTCAAATGGGAGGAGAAGGAGTAGCAGACATCGTGTCCTGGTGTCCACTTTTTTTTTCTCCCAGCTATATGGGACACTGCCGTCGTTACTTACTTGTCGACACTTTGGGAGCCTTGGTCTGGCACCTGCCTGTGCTTCTTCTGCTCTAGCTACTCCTGCTCCTCCTGCTCCTCCTGCTACTCCTGCTCCTAGTTCTCCTCTTTCTCCTCCTACTTCTCCTTCAACTCCAGCACAACTCGACTCCAAAGAGTGATGCCAATAGGTCAGATCCTACAAAGAATGAATGAAAAACCTTCAATGCTAAGAATATAATAAAAGACTCGACAAAGGTTTCCTAGAGGAAAATTACAATTTCTATGATATTATAAGTAAAAAAAAAATGTAAGGTATTATTTGTGCTTATTGCAGTTCCTTAAAAGACCAGCGACAAAAGGACATTTTTCTGAGAAATAACCAGCACTGGAGCACAACTTCAAGTCCAGCTTCTCCTTCCACCAAAGCTGTGGTCTGTTCATTAAACCCAGTTGGCTTGGGGAAAATGCCCGCAGCTTTTTCACCTTTGCAGGAAAAACAATAACCTTTTGCCAGTGTGGGTGAGGTCGATGCTAGTGTGTGTGTGTTTTTATGCTCATGTTATTCCAAGCGGAGGCGGAGAGCCGTCGCTGGAAACATCAAAGCGCATCTGAAATGGCTTAGAACCCACCATAAATTACCGTTAAATGGGAGAGCATTTAAAGTCAGGCCGCATATACAATATCCCCTTGCTAACTCATCCTTAAACTGGGAGGAAACATTTTCAGCAACTGTTGTGCCTGCTGGGGGTTTCCGTCTCCATCTCCGTTTCCGTTTCCAAAAGCTTCAAATTCAAAATCGAAATCGAAAATCGCGAAATTCTTCAAGGCTGCTTCTCCCGGGGAAATGGGAATCGGCAATTAGCGACTCAAAAAGACGGAGAATGAAAGATAAGGTACGTAACAATTTGACTGAGTCAAAGGAATGACAGGCGAATGTCCAAAGCGCAACAGTGCGTATGAGCAATTCCGGAATAGTTTCAAGTCCCAGAGGACTCAGGCACGTGGTACACGCATCTCGCTTTTTGAGAGAGAGAGAGCGAAAGCTCATTTGCCACAGACATTGCCAGAGTTTCAAATATTTGCAGCAACTATTTTGACCAAAAGCAGAGCTCCTTTGAAGTCCAAGTGAGTCCAAGCGAGTCGCATGTCCGCCCAGCTGCACCCATTCCAAATAGATTCCTTCATTCCCAATCCAATTGCCTCGACTTAAAGCTGCTTCTGCTTCTGCTCCTGGTCCTGCAATGCAAATTACTTTGCATCTGGGGCATTCTATAATTGGCATTCCTTCCAATCGATTGCGCTCTGGACTGCGGTCGACTGCCGCCACGACACCTGGCCGTATCGTAACTGATTGCAATCAATCAATCCGGACCCGGACCCAACCCCTTTGATGATACGATTACGGGAAACGAAACGAAACGCAACGCATTAACGCTGCCAGTGTTAAATGCGAATTCATGTCTGGTCGCTTTCGTAATGAGCCTGTAAACTTCAAGCCGGACTCAACAGTTGGGCCCAGGAGTGTGCATCCTTAATCGGTAGCTGCAACCCACTCAAAGTTCACCGCCCCATTTACCCCAAAGTGCTCTCTCCGTGAAACACTTCTCGCGATGCTAATCAAAATGTAACGACTTCTGTGCAATTAAAGTCGAAACATGGCAGATGGAGACGGATACGAAGCTGGGAGCTGGGATCCTGGTACAACATTTGCTGCCATTTCCATTTGTATTCATGGCACCGGCACACACACACACACACACACACACACACAAACACACACTAGGTCTCACTAATACTTAGTCATCGTAGTACCGTTTATGTTTCCCATCATCCTGCTGCTCCTCCTTTTCCGCCATTTTTGGCGTTGTTTGCTTTTGCCAAACGCTCTCAGTGCCAACTTTTTCTGGTATGCAAATGAATGACATGGCGATGACACGGCAAGTTAGTTACTGTCACAGCCACAGCCACAGCCACTGACACTTTCATGTGTTAGACATGGGGTAGATATATATATATATACTATACCATTCTATATATATCCACACTCAACACCCACATGCCCTCTTTTAGGGTTCCTTTGCCTGGCGACAGTTGCTCACTTTGAGAACCATTGACATGCCGGGCACAAAGAGCGGACTATATAGCCAAGGATCTAAGGTATACGAATAGGGGAATACCCTTTAAAAGGGTATATGGTTATATACAACCAAGAAGGTTGAGTAGACGAATAGGGAAGGGTTAAGATTAAGGCCTGAAGTTGTTTCTATTTAAGATACCTCCCCTCAAGTAGTTCCCCCTCTAACCGGATATACCCCAACAAAAAAGCCTCCAGGGTATCACTGCTGTTGCCATCAGCTAACGGAAATAATAAAATGCAAAAATATTATTTTTTAATTAAGTCATAATAGCCAGTGTCTGGCAAACCCAGGGACCGGGGGACTAATCGGGCCAGGCGGGCAAGCTCCTGCTCCCAGCCATGTCCTGCTGCCTACGAATGCTGTGTGAATGCTAATGACCTATGAGGAAGCCCAGAAGGAACGGCGGGGTGGGGGGGGGGGGGGCTAAAGATAATGTCCTGGGAGGTGAAGGCGGAAAAAGGGACGTGCTTACAGTTTTCGACAACGCGCACGCAGTTTGCATATTTTCACATCATTTTGCATTGCTTCAAGGACACAGCTCGAGCTGTGAGTGGGCATAGGCAGGACCCACTGCCATAACAAGGACGAAAAGTGGAGGCTGACCGAGAGCAGGAGAGCAAGAAGGCGAGCTTAAGCCTGAGTCCTCCTGCCCACAGTGGGGGCCGTAATCTAAACTGTAATTATTTTGTATCGAAGGGACGTCAAAAAAGGAAGCAGAAATTTTGAGGTTTGACTGCTTCTCCTTCTCGTCCTTGTCTCCTCGGTTACTCGTCACTCATTTAATCAATCAATTAATCAAAAGTTAGTGTCCTTCTCTCAAAGGGAAAGGGGGAAATCGCTTAAGGGGTTTATTGAAAGAAATTAAATTTAATTTTTACGCTAATGAGAAACCCATCTCCAAACCCACCAAAAAGGTTGTGAAAAGGATACAGCCAGGAAAGAAGCTCTGTCGTGTGTGGGTGTGTGTGTGTAATTTGGTAATTTGTTGTGGCAGCCAGAAAGTAATTTCGTTTTTCGTGGCCTTTGGATTTGCGGCAAGAGTTGTCGGTTTGGTAAGACTTTTTATTACCATTTCAGCTGATTCATAAATCATGGCAGGACTCGGTGTGTGTGTGTGTGTGTGTGTATCCTTACGCCTCATTTGGCAGGACTTGGGAATTAATCAAACCCGAAACAAGCTCTCAAAGGATACTTTCACTTTCTGAACCTTAAAAAAAACTACATAAAGATAGCTGCAAATTGTGAGAAATTTTCCCAAAGTTTTTTCTAATTATGAGAGCAGGAAAATTACATTCAAGGACGTGTGTCCTTGCTCTGATTACTGCTTGATTTATTGACGCAAAAATAAAGCCCAATAAAGGCTCCCCGATCGTCAAGTTCGAACTGCGTAAACACAATAAAGTTAATTTAATGACTTCGCTGGGCTAGAATACATCGGGATTGGGCTCATCGGCTTGGCTGGAACGCAGACCGGCCGGCAGGGTTGGACCCAAATCCTGTCCAGGTTCGCTACTGTCCAGACGAAGCGAACGTCGCTGCCGCCGCATATTCCAATGAAGGCTATACAGCTCCTCGTCCTCGGACTCAACAGACTCCCGGGCATTTCTGGATGTTGTGGGATGCTCCTGCTCCTGGAGCTGATACATCTGCCGCTTCCAGGCCAGCTTCGTCAGGGAAATGGACTCCCCCGGGCGAGCCTGCAATTCGATGGGAGTCTCCGACAAAGCCACGCTGCCAGAGGAGCTGCTCTGTTCCGGCAACCTCGAGCTTCTCAGCTGACGCTGCAGCCGTGAGATGGTGCCACGCGGCACAAGGAACTCCAGAGGCTTCATCTGACTCTCCAGGCGCTGCTTGACCGTGGCGGCAATGCTGGGACCAGAACGGGGCACAGCAGCTGGCGCCTCCCTGCTCAGCTTGGTCAAAGTCTCCAGCGGCTTCTTCAGATCAAAGTTGGACCAAAGGTTGCCCAATCTTTCCGGTGAAGTGCCATCGGCTGGCCTGGCCCTTGAAGGCTCTGTGGAGGAGCCGGAGTTGGCTTCACCGTCCAGGAAATCCAAGCGATCCACGAAATAGGGCTTCTCCGGCGGCATTTTCAACTTGCCGGGCATCATCTGGAACTCGATCACCTGAAGCTTGTACACGTTGAGCTTGTAGCGCAAATTGCGCATTCGGCTGCGGACGAAGGCGGCGCTCAGATGGCTACCCATACCGGCGGCAATCTCCTCCCAGGCCCGGCTTTTACGTTCGGCGTCGCTGTGCTCCGTTAGCGAGGTGTTCCACAGGCATTCCTGCGACCGATAGAGATCGATTAGACGCAGATTGAACTCCTGCTCCTGGCTGGAGGGCAGCTGCGAGGCGGCCTTGCTTTTGGCTGACTCGCGGCGTTGTTTTTCCAGACGCCGTGCCTCCATCATTTTGTTAACTGGCTCTGAGAGAAGAGTGCTAAACACTGCCAGCCTTTCCCTGGCCAACTTGGATGCTCCAAAACGAAAGTGGTTTACTTTGGGGGGGAGAGCTCCTTCTGCAGAGTGGGGGAGTAAGTTCCAGGAGGGAAGTAAGCTCCTTCAAGGAAGTGAAAATTGGCTGTCTTTCTGCATGGGTCCTTGCATGCCATCACTCACATGCCTGAGCGCATCTGCATAATTCCAGCTTGCGTCTGGCAGGACGTACTTTGGTGGCAGGTCCTTGGTAGGTCCTGACTCAAAGACACCAGAATGTGGCAGCCGCATAGTTGTCAAGGCAGCAGGCAAAGGAGGAAGGCTACACAGTGCTGCCACAAGCAGAATAACTAAAAAACACGCTGTGATTTAATATAAAGAGTACTTTAACATGATTTTAATAATATTAAATATATTATTTCGTATGGTTTTTGTTTTATTACTTAATCAGGGGTAATTAGCCAGAATATATTGTAAAGAGTTCCATAACTCATTTTTAAACATATTAAAAACAATATATAATGTATATTAACCCTAGACATTTTGTTATGAATTATTTTTTAACTTTTATCACTTTATCAGCTGTAATAAACCTAAATCCAAAATTAAAAAAACACTATAAATCTATAAAAAAAAACAAGATTAGAAACAATAAATTAAGCTTTATTAAACCATATACTAAAGTTCTCTAAACATTTAACCCACAAAACCCCAAAAGGCAATTAGCATTTGTGACCTTTATGTCGACCTTTATTGATTGCCTTTTATCAGTTAATAGGGGGATAATTGTCCCCTTAAGCCAAGCCCGATTAATATAATCGATATAATTAATCGGCATAAGCTCAAGCTGTTTAATTTATAATTTAAAGGACCAGAAACTTGGCAACAGCACTGTCAGAACCCGGAAATATGCAATAAATCCGAGGCGATGAATTCAATCACAGCTCAGCCATTGCCGCCTTGCGGAATCCATCCGTGTCCGGCAACTACTTGGTGGGAGGAGGGGCTAAGTGGGTGGGTGGGTAGACTCTGAGGAGGAAAATTTAATTAATTTTCTGCACCCACACGTGTCAGGTTCCTCGCAGGATGTCATGAGATGGCGGCAAATGCAAATGTTGCCCAATTTACGATGGATTTAAATCAACAAAATGTGTGTATTGTGCCTGAATACCATTTCCACTTTCACTAACAGTATACCTTCGCCCCCCCCACAGCTTTTCCGCTTTAATTCTGGTTTCAACTTGCCATTTTGCAATTCGAATTTTCCCATTTTTGGCAACTAACGAACGTGAGTAATTAGGCCTAATTGGCAAGGCGCCCCGGCTCTCACGTTTGCATAATTCAACAATGAATATTGGCCAAAATAACAACAACAGCAGCAGCAGCACCAAAATAGACCCCGATGTTATGCGTAAATAGTCCGGAAGGGGTCTCCTCCACTTGATTTGATGGCCCCCTAGGCGCAAATAGGACTCCTGCCAGGACTCGGGGGAGTCTCTTCTCCCTCTCTCTACTACTACTAATTGGTGGCTATGCTTCCGAATGCTGTAACATTTCATGTCACACTTAAGGCGTGCCAAAGTCTGGCCTAATCCCATCTCAAAGGAGAGCCGATTAAGGCTGGATATACAGAGGAAGATATACTACTGTATTCTATACATAAAAATATCGATATTTTATATATACATCTATAAACCAACGAATTAAATTAGCTTGCAGCTCTCAAGGAACTCCCTTTTACCCAAAAACCAAAGTTGCTGGATTGCAACACTCATAAAAAATGTTTTTCTATTTTTAAGAAAAACAGCCCTAAAAAATTAGGAAAACTTTTTTTTTAATTCTAGAAAATGTTCTTAGTTTTAGAATATTTTCTTTTCTTACTTCCAGAAAATGTTATTAGTTTTATAATATTTTCTAGAATTAAGAAAAGGTAACATGTATGCACATATAATTCCCAACTGGTTCTAACTTCACCGGAATAAAGTATAGGATGCCGGGCCCTTCCAGGTATAAACAGTGGTGAGCACATATGTTTGTGCTCATAAAAAAAAAAATATTACATTAATTTAAGAATAAAAAAATACCCTTAAATAATTAATCATATTTTCTTAATTCAAGAAAAGTTTACAAAATGTTGTCTTTAATTTTTAAAGACAAATTACTAAGTATTCCAGCGAATATTACATAAATATTAATATTAATTACAAGGCTTAATTTAAGGTAAATATTTATTTATGAGTGCACTTATTATAATGCACTTTTAATGCTACTTTTGTGTGCGTGTGTGTGTGTGTTGCGGTCGCGAGTTTTTATAATCGGCTTAAAAGAGCACTTAATGGCTTAAAACAGTTATGTGAAGTGCAGTTACAGCATTACACAGACAAGTTAAATGGATTGCCAGGATACATAACCTGTTTACCTTTTGCCCTCTTTACATCAATTTCCTTAATCTTTTTTCCCCGGAAAAGCACCCAATAAAAAATGGGGAAAACCCCAACAAGGGAAAGCTAAAAACCAAGAAAACCGAGTGTCAGCAATAAAACAATTATCCAAGGATAGAAATAAAGGCAAAAACATTGTTTATCCAGCATCCAATTGGGCTTGTCATTTGACCTTTTTGTGGGGATTTATAAACATTTATTTTTTGTATTATTTGATACCCTTGCTGAGGGTATATAATTTCAGGAAGAGGTTTGCAAGAGGTTTATGCTTTAAATGAATAAATAAGAAAGAATTAAATATATAAAATTAATAAAAAAAAAAAATTGTATACAAAAATAATATTAAAAAAAAAAAATCTAAAAAAAATAATATACAATAAATAATATTAAAAAAAATAATCTAAAAAAAAATAATATACAAAAAATAATCTAAAAACTAAATAATATACAAAAAATAATATAAAAAAATAATATAAAAAAAAAAAAATACAAAAAAATAATATACAAAAAAATATATACAAAAAAATAATATACAAAAAAAATAATATAAAAAAAATAATATAAAAAAAATAATATAAAAAAATAATATAAAAATAATATAAAAAAAAATAATATAAAAAACGCTTAACACTAAAATTCCCAACTAGTTCTAGCATTTCCTGAGTGGTAACCCAGCGGAATGTTGAGGTCGAGTCTTTGAGGTAGTGTTGTGTGTATTAGTGGTTACTCTCTCCTTAAACAGCTGCCACTTGTTGTGTTGTTGTTTATTAGTGTACCTTCTCTATTCTTCTACTTGAGAGAGAGACAAAGACAACGAGCAGATATCACCGGAGAGAGTTTGAGATCAAAGAGAAATCCAGGAGACTTATCAAGCAGAGGAGGAACCCACACAAATGTGAGTACACAAATTATAAATTTTTATAGCTTATAAATTTGTTTAAACTTAACATTAAGTTTAAGTTAGACATTTTCACTAATTTAAGCAATGAGAAATACTAAAACTATGTGCAAGGGTATAAAAACTTCGGCATGCCAAAGTTAGCTTCCTTTGCTTGTTTCTTTATTTTTGTGTCGACTTTTCAACTAAAAGTTTCTGATAATAATTCGACCGCCAGGTTGTGCCTGGACATTCCCGCATAGACAAACGAAAATTTAATAAAGTCAACCCCCGGAGCAAGTCCCCTTAGTCCGGTAATTGAGTTTTGATGGTCGAAATGTCAGGCGCCTAGGCCAACCACATCTGTTGCCATTCGGGGCACACAGCATGTAAATAAGGCCTACAACACACCCGCAGCTACCCCGGGATGTGCCCACTCACAGTTGCCATTGCTGCTGCCTAACGACTTCCATTTGTTGCCAATATTCAAGTCATCATGGGGGTTCCATGACGGTCCGGTCTGGTCCCAAAAATTCTTGTTTAGTTAGATTCCCATTCTTAGGGCCAATCGCCTTTTGGGAATGTCTTTACAGGGTGGGGGAAGTTGGAGAAGAGATTGAAGAGGGAGTATTTCGATATCCACTAATGTTTAAGAGTATTAATTAATAAGGGAAGTCCAGACTGGAGATCGATCTCCTCTGTCTTAAAGTCTTAAGAAAGCTTCAAAAGAGCTGATCCACTTCTGGATACTGGATCCTGGTTGTAGTGCTGTTTCCAAAGAGTTATATCCCTCCCTGACTTTATAATATTCCGATTCCTTTAACCTATATATTTTTAAAAGTCTTCTACAAGAGATTTTGATTCCTAATTCCTTTAAGAAATAAACTTATTTGCTAAGAATGCTGGTTATTTCTGTGGATGCCAGGTGGTGCTCTGAAATCCCTGACAGGAAATCAAAAATATAACCAGCTGACGCCATAAATGAGATAACAAGTTTGTAATTTTGCCATAATTGTGGGGGCCCTGGGGGATGTTGGGAAGCCAATAAGCCCGCTCCTTAACCTTGGCCTCCTCACTCACCTTCCACCTCCCATCTGCCACCTCTAACCTTCCACCTTCCACCTCTAACCTCCCATCTCTTCTCCCCAGCTGTTGAATTAATTTTTATTAAAATCAAAATCGCATATTTTTCGTCTGCTGCAGACACACACACACACACACACACCCACAAAAAGTTTGGTTTTTTGCCGACGCAGTGCGGAATGCGGCAAAGGTGTGGATAAAAGAGGATACGGATACCGGTTTAGTGGCAGGATATGGGGGCCCCCACACACGTGCTGACAACAAGCCAATTAAGCAAGTGCCTCGCCAGCAGCAGCAGCATACGAAAAATGACAGCCACATTAAGCCGCCATGTCAGGAGCAGCAGCAGCAGCATCAGGATATATAGAATCCTGCCAACCAATTGAAATTTGAAACCCGGCAAAAAAGAGTGGCCAATAAACATTTTATATTCATTTGATTCGATTGTGATTTTGCTTTTGGGTTATGTGTGTGTCATTGCTCTGTGGAAGGACAATGACTTAGCCTTGGTATCCTGGAAAGGGGAAAGCCACTCGTGCGCATAGCTGACATCCATTCGATGGCCAGCCAAGTCAGTTAATTTCCATTACACTGCGTTCACATCGATGAGGATGATCATCA